AATCAAATTAAATTCGTCATTGTATTTTTCAATTTCACCCTATTTACCACTAAACTTCATGATCATTGAATGATGGAATTGCAAGAACATGATATATAATTCACTTTTTATTGATGCATGCTAATTTGGTTAGTTTTCTAGATTCCTGAAAAAAGTTGGGTGCTTTAAAGCTTGTTGTGTTGAAACACATGAGATTCATACACATGATTTGCGTTATAAATTTGCAATTTTTATCTAAAAAAAGACATAACATGTGAAGACGAGTCGCTTTATTTTAGTAATACAAGCTATATTATATGTTTCTTGTGTAGGTTCTAGGAATTGACGACTCAATAAATATAAATATCTCCCATTCAAAAAAAAAAAAAAAAAAAAAAAAAAAAAAAAAAAAAACTAAACAGGTCAATTTACAACTTAATATCATTGACATAAAGTCGAAGTCAATTATTATTACATCGTGTTGTACTGTTAACCAATATTACACTTTGACCAAGAAAGCGTCCAAGCATTTCACATTCACATCATCACATGGGTCCACACCTTTTATCATAAACAATAATGATCTTTAGAATAATATCCAAATGTTTTATTGGTCATGCGCATTAAACTTCATTTAAAATACTTGCGTTGACTTTCAGGTAATGTCCAGAGTGTATTGGAGTTGACCGAAGAAGAATGGGAGAGTACAACGAGAACAAACTTAACCGGAACATGGTTGGTGTCAAAATACGTATGTATACGTATGCGCGACGCGTATCACGGAGGATCAATCATCAACATCTCATCAATTGCGGGTCTTGACCGTGGTCAACTCCCCGGTGGTCTCGCTTACGGCACTTCAAAAGCAGGTGTTGTCACGTTGACCAAGGTAACCTTACAAAATGAGAATCTTGATTTGCATTTTTAGTTTGATCCAGAGGTTATTGGGCTTATCTGTAACTTTGGGTTTTGGATGTTACAGGTGATGGCTATGGAAATGGGAGTGTATAAGATTAGGGTGAACTCGATTAATCCGGGGCTTTTTAGGTCGGAGATCACGGAGGGCTTAATGGAAAAGGATTGGCTGAATAATGTGGCTGAAAGAACGGTTCCATTAAGAACATTTGGAACTGCGGATCCAGCCTTGACAAAACTAGCGAGGTATCTGATCCATGACTTGTCCCGATACATCAGTGGCAATGTGTTCATAGTCGATGCGGGTGTTACCCTACCGGGTGTCCCGATTTTCTCTTCACTTTAGATTGGGGTGGTTATTTGGACGTTTTATTGTAAATAAAAGTTGGGAAATTGTTGAAGTTTGAATTTTGTTGGTAAAAGAGCGTAGAAGGTAGTGGAGGGTATTGGTTTTATTATGTTATTTCTTAATTAAAATGTCTAATTGAAATAAGGTTTGATAACTATTTGTGTTTTTTGGAAGAGGGTTTAGAGGTGAATAATCAAGAGTTCAAGGCAGTTGATTTATCATTTATGTGTGAATAAGCAGTTAATAAATCGATTCCATGTAAGGGTTTAGATGTGAACAAACTCATTTTATTGATTCACAAGCAAAAAGGAAAAATGTGGAAAGTGGCTGATAGTTAGAGGGGGGGAGAGAGAGAGAGAGAGAGAGAGAGAGAGAGAGAGAGAGAGAGAGAGAGAGAGAGAGAGAGAGAGAGAGAGAGAGAGAGAGAGAGAGAGAGTAAAGTGGTAATCACATGGAAGAGGCAACCATGGGAAACAACCATGTTGTGGCAGTAATAGTGTGGCACCACTAGCACTAGTGGTGTGACAGAAGCTATTTGGGGTTCCCTAGTTCCAATTCCAACTATTACAACTTTTCAGTGATTTGGAGATTCAAAATATGTGTAAATAGTTCGGCATCATCAAGCAAACCATGCCTATTTACAATTTACATAGATGATTTTGAATATCTGCTTTTGTTGGCTCCCAAATTGCCAAAATCCCAAGCAGTAGGGTTTTTTTTTGAAGGATTGAGAGATGAGGTCAATATTGTTAGGTCTGAAGATTCAAATGTTTAGGACGAGTCGGAAAAAAAAAAACACTTAGGCTAGGACGTGTAACAAATTAAATTATATAAACTATTTTTTTTTAAATGACAATAAACATAGCAAATAAGATTGTTATAACAATTAAGCAAATAAATGATTAATATAGAATGAAATTGAATAGAAAATAAGATGGTCACCTACTGGTGGTTAGGTAAAGGCAATGACTTTCAAACCAAAAGTGTTACATCATTATTCACGGATCTGGGTTAGCATTTTTTTAAGATTTGCAGCCATGCTTTTGTATTCAAAATTCATAACAATTATCCTCAAGGTATGTTGATTATTTCTTATCAATATACAATAGATAAAGTACATGAGAAAAAGAGCATTACCTCACCAGTTAACCTTTATGACCTGTTGTGCCATTTTGAATCTTATGACATTTGGTGCCATTTGAGCTATTGCAAAATCGTCCAGGTACATATACAACCTACCGTCTACAATACCTTCCTGCATAAGCATGAAACAACAAACTTTCTAAAGTGTCAGTCACAATATTATGAAACACTAGAATCTGAAATTAACCATTTAATATAAAGCTGAGTACCAGAAATATAGACAAATATCAGAAACTTCATGCTGAAAGGGAGAGGAAACACCAAAAAGTGGGAGTAAACATCGACCATTTAACGTTTAAATCCATGGAGAGAGTGAGAAATAAGAGTAAGAAACTCCAGGAAACAGAAAAGGCGATTAGTACAAACCACCTGCAGTTAGGCCTGACAATCGGGTTGGGTTCGGTTTGACGGGTTAGAAAACATAAACTCAACCCAACATATATAATATATGGGTTGGCGGGTCACGGCTTTGAAACTTCAACCCAACTCAATCATATAACCCGTTTAAGTATATGGGTTCGCGGGTTCACAAGTTAGTGGATCGAGCCCAACCCATATAACTCGTTAGATAGATAAGCTAACACATTTTAAAAAATGAGGTATTTTCAACATAAAGTCATAAACTTATTAAAGTAATTAACATAAAAAAGAGGTTTTCAAAATAAATTCATAAAGTCATTAACATCCAAATAAATTTGAAAAATACAAACGTTCATACAAAGTGGATGTATAATTCGTTTGTGACTCGTGAGTATCTAAAATTGACAAGTGTTTTTTCTTTTTTGATTAGGTCACTGCAAACGCAGACTAACCATATACGGGTACAAAATGAATACAATGATATAAAATATTACGAATACGGAAGGAAATCAGATTTCACTAATATTTAAATATATTTTTTTATAAATGTAATATATATATATATATATATATATATATATATATATATATATATATATATATGTATATATATATATATACACACTGATACAAATAGAGAAGAGGGTACCACAGTAAATGTCACACCTAAACCGTTATTGGTGTATTCTAGAAAGGGACCAGGGGTAAAAAGGGGAAAGACTATCATTAGTTAGTTATGTAGAGAGGAGAATATATAAAGAGAGAATAAGAAAGTATGAGGTCATGTTTTTTGTTATGATTGTATTGGCTCCTGAAGATTTGTTTCAGTGAGAGAGGGATCATTCCCTGGGCAATCTTCGGATTGAATTATCAATACAAGTTCATTCTCCTTTCACTCATTCATCACATTTTCATTTTCATCTGTTTCTTGTTTCATTTACAATTTATATTCACATCATTGGTCCGACCTGCCCCTGACCTGCCGCCGGTGAATCCATGGCTGGGACTCGCTCTACCTCTCAACGTTTGGATGATCATGATGCAACTCTTTCTCAACTTCAGATAGACATGGGAGAGATGAAGGTGAATATGGAAAATTTGAACAACAATTTCAGAAAGAACAACAGGAGAACATAGCGTTTCGTAAGCAAATGTTGACGTGGATGGCCAAATTTGAGAAGACGCCGGTTTCGGAGGGATTCGTTGAAACTGGATCTGGATCTGGTCTAGTCTTTCCATCTCCACCACCACCTACAAGAGAGCCTTTGTTCCCTTCCGGTGGTGATTCCCGTCTTCCTCCACAGTTTGAGCCGCAATCATCTGGGTTACCTTGGTCGGTGAAGAAAATTAAGCTTCCGGAGTTCAATGGGTTCGATCCTCAAGGATGGATCCAGAAGGCCAATCTCTTCTTCGACATTAATGGTATGCATCCCCAATTTCGTTTACGATTAGCTCAGCTGAGTATGGTGGGTGTTGCTCAACATTGGTTTACCATTATTCTTCAACTTCATCCGTCACTTTCCTGGGAACAGTTCCAAGAGGAACTTCTGCAACGTTTCAGTGGATTAGAAGTTCAAAACCCTTATATCCAGCTGGCTCGAATTCAACAATCTGATTCCATTCTGGAATATATTGATGATTTCGAGTATTTGCTCTCTCTTGTTCCCCAACTACCGGAAAGACAAGCTATCGGGTATTTTGTGGCGGGGCTCCAGGATGATGTCCGTCGTTGGGTTTGTTTGCAGCGACCTCATACAACAATGGAAGCGATGTACGTTGCTAAGGATGTGGAGGATTTGATCCGTCCGGTGTCGGGGAATGTGTCTCAGACCCGTTTCCGTTATTTGAACCGATTTGGGGTTTCCAATGGGTTTTTTTCTGAGCCCAATACTATGGTAGGTCAAACGGCCTCAAAAGAGCCCAGTTTCAATAGATGGGGATCCAAATCTGTTTCGAGTCGTATGGAGGTCACTCGATCGACAGCTACACCAAAATCTGTTCCATCTGTTCCTTCAGACATCACCAAATCTGGAAATCGAGATCGGGGAACTCGATCACTCACGCGCACGGAATTGGAAGAATGCCGCAAGAAGGGGCTCTGTTTTCGTTGTGGGTTACAATATGGACCAAACCACAAGTGTGTTGAGGGTCAATTACGTGTCTTACTCTTAGGAGATGATGAAGAGGATACTGCACTCGAGGACCAGTTCCGTTTTGCTGGACTCGTCTGCACTGGAGCATCCAAAACAGGAGATCATGACTCACGGAATGTGTTCTGCCCTAGAATTTGCCGGCGATTCTCAGTTACCCTTTGGTGGCCAAACTCTCAAATTCGAAGGGGGCACTAACAGGTATTCCCGTGATTCTGTTAGTTGATAGTGGTGCCACCCATAATTTCATTTCGAGACAGTTAGTGGACGCTTTAAATTTCTCTACGGATATTTTTTCGGGTATTCGTATCAAGTTGGGTGACGGTTTCATTGTTCATGTTACCGAACGCTGTCTTAATCTTTCCATCACGATCGTTATGTGTTTTTTTGATTACGACATTAGTGCTAGACACGGGGTCCACAGACATGATTTTGGGTATGCCTTGGTTGAATTCCTTGGGAGAAGTGACTCACAATTGGAAAGATGCATGGATGAAATTCAAGTGGGACGATCAAGAAATCACACTTCATGGGTTGCCTGTTGGCCAACGTTCTCACACTCCGTTACACCATTGGTTGAGTTCTGGAGGTCAATTATCTCAGCCATACATACCTTCCACACTGGGTGCATCGAATCAGTTAACTGCATTGCTTCAGCAGGATCATCAACAGGCACTTCAACAATTATTAGCCAAATTTGAAGGTATCTTTCAGAACCCAACGGGCTTACCTCCTATCCGAACACATGATCATTGTATCAATTTGATACAAAATCAGGACCCAATTTGTGTTCATCCGTATCGTTATCCCCACTTACACAAAACAGAGATCGAAAATCAAGTGAAGGAATTGTTGTCCTTGGGAATGATTCGTCCAAGTAAGAGTGCTTATTCTAGCCCGGTGATCTTGGTTCGTAAGAAAGATGCATCTTGGCGAATGTGTGTTGATTACAGAGCTTTGAACAAAGCCACTATTCCCGATAAGTTTCCTATTCCGGTAGTCGAAGAGTTACTTGATGAATTACAGGGTGCACAATTTTTTTCTAAATTGGATTTGAAATCTGGCTACAACCAAATCCGTATGCATCCGGACAGCATTGAAAAAACGGCATTTCGCACACATGAGGGTCATTATGAATACTTGGTTATGCCTTTTGGGTTGATGAATGCTCCTTCTACATTCCAAGCCGTTATGAATGATGTTTTTAGACCCCTCTTGCGGAAGAAGGTAGTAATTTTCTTTGACGATATTCTGGTATACAGTGCCACGTGGGAGGCTCGTCTCGCTGATTTGGAGTTGGTTTTTCGTATATTACAACAACATCAGTTTGTAGCCAATCAAAAG